ACTACTATACTACTATATATATATATATATATATATATATATATATATATATATATATATATATATATATATATATATATATATATATATATATATATATATATATATATATATATATATATATATATATATATATATATATATATATTTACTTATATATATTTATTGTATATTGTATCATATATATGACTAAATTGCATCTGAAATACTTGTGATTTCTAGTTTCCTCAACACATGAATGTATCCAACCGTCTTGTCGTATCTAACCTAAGCTTTTTTGGAGCGCAATCAATTCAGTCAGAACAGACTCATGTATTTTTGAACTGTATATATCATCGTCTGCCCACATCTCTACTATCGCATGTTTTATTGAACTTTATATAGTTTGTTACGTCAAAGCAATGTGCACACACACTGAGATACACGATACAAACATATATACTCGAATTGCTAACCCTTACTACTCTCATAACAGGTAGTAATCAACCAGGGCTCTTCACCATGCCTCTGCCCTCAGGAGTCGAGCAGCTGACTGGAAATGACCAGGCCACCCAGGTAAGGCGCTGACTTTCAATGTTATCGCAAATCGTTTGCTGCAGCTTTAAAGTGTGTGTATATGTAAACTGATACTACACTTGTGTACTGATTCGGAAATTTGTGCCTACGATAATTGTGAACCACGGGTATTATGCAGCTATCATTCAATCCAATTATTATAGTTCTTTAGAGAATGAAAGGCTGTATCTGTAGCTGTCGATTAGGGTTTTGGGGTTTGAACCCCTGTCGTGCCATTGTACCTACTAGTGCACTATATCATTGACCGGACTTTGTACCCTGCCTACGCTGAGGACCGACGCCATGTCCTGCCTGTACACATAACAATTAGGACTAATATGCACCTTCCATCACTGTGCAGGACAAACGGGTGGCACTGTTGAATGGTCTCAATGTGCTGTTCCTGGGCATGCCTAATCTGCCAGGTAAGCTGCGTTGGATTGCTAAGCCAAGTCCGTGTAGTAGTGAGTGTACAACTGTGGTATCCGTATTGGAAGCTTTGCGATTCCTTCCCATTGTCTCACACAGCTGGGGCCTTTCCCCTTTATTAGACCTCTGCGCTGCATGGTTCTGTTTATGGCTATGTGTGCCGTTGACGGTCCTTTGTCGGCGTTCTTGTCCCCCGTGCAACCGTTGCAGTGCTCGGGTTCCATCGTTTCTGCGTTCTTGTGTAGAAGTTCAGGAATTCGCCTGCCTTGCATGAGCGCCCACTCTATGTTGGCATAGTGTTTCCACCTACTTTTAAGTACTGCTCCTAATACTCTCTTGTAAAGACGCTGGGTTAACCTGGGCTATCTGTGCATATGTGATGCGCACAACCCACTCACCCACATCGCTTGCGCAGGGATGTCTGGATCATTGTACGAGAAGAACGAGGCCCTTGTCGCCACTGGAGCCAACATCTGGGCTGTGTTCAACAGTGAAGAGGATGAGCTGTACAAGTTTCTGCAGTGCGGCGAGAAGAAGCTGTTCCCGAAGTCTATGTTCGCGGATCTCATGAGCGACGACGTCTACGTGCAGGCCGAGAATGTCAAGAAGGTATACCAGTACATGTCACAGTGTCAGTGTCATTTCTATTGTGCATTGCACATGTGTACCGTCGGTGTCAATGAATTTGTTTCAATGAGAGAACATTTGTGTCAAGCCATAAGATGCCATTACAACCACAGTGAGAAAAGAATTATCATGGATTAAATGCAGGATCAAATGGTGAAGTGCGTATCACAGCACACAGTTCAATAAGATACCGAACATTAGATCACACACACATGCTCACTCTCTTCGCAACCCCCCCCCCTGTAGGCCGCGGCTGAGGCGGGAGTGACTTTCGACGGTGTGTTTTCTCCGTACGAGAATATGATGACCGTTGTAGGCGCGTGCGCGGAGGTCATGGGGTTGCCAGGCAACATAGTGTCGGCGTATTTAACTGCCCGAGACAAGCACACCGCACGAGAGGTGCTTCGAAAGGCAGGCATCGCCACCCCAGCGTAAGTGGTGCAGAGGTGTGGGGTATATATGAGTGGGAGGGGGGATCGGATAGATGTATATAAGTCCACCCAGTCTGTGTGTGTGATACTGCAATGAGACTTCGTCTGTGTGGTATAGATGAATGGGATGTGTGGTGTGCCTTGCAAAACCGCACTGCCACGCACGCACGCTCCAGACACCTTCCGCCTCGCCCACATATACTCACCCCAATGCTTACCGCCAAAGTATGACACTCGCATAAGTTTGTTTTTGTGATTTTTTTATTTTCTTTGTTCGTCCCAATATCAGACACACATGCACTCTTTCTCTTCTATGAAGAGATGCGTTGTTGGCCCGCATACACTGACACGTGTTGGTGCCTCTGTGTCAAGTTTACTTTGTTGTATGACTTTCAGGTACGGCTAAGGATCGGTTACCCTCACGCACAATGTCACACACACACCCCCGTGCATCCATGCACTTTGCTACACCCTCTCACTCGCACACTCACACGCACACACTAATTACCACCACAACACACCTGCTTCTCAGGTCTGCGCGTGTGTCCACAGTAGAGGACATTGACCAGGCCTGTAAGGATGTGGGGTTCCCCATGATAGTTAAGCCCACCGCCGGTGCTGGGTCGCAAGGGGTGTACATCGCACGCAGCGAGAGTGAAGTCAAGGGATTGGTCACCAAACTGCTGGACGAAATCTCGGGCAACGCATTCCTCAGGTGTGTGCCTGGGCAGGATACACCCGCGTGGCTGGAGTCAGGGGCATCCGTTGGTCCCAGTTGAAGGAGTGGTTTACCTATCATTGATGTGTGCACTGTTACAGTTATAGCACAAGAACGTTTTTGTTTCAAGAGATCCGTGGCGTTAGCTCTGACTAACGGCTGGTTGTTTCTCTGTGCAGCTACAACCCAGGGGTCAGTGACGGCGGCATCGTGTGTGAGGAGTTCTTGGAGGGGGATGAGACAGACGTCGACTGTCTGCTGTCCCCAGGCGAAGGCAACAAGGCCGTCTACCGCAATGTGTGCGACAACGGGTGAGTGTGGTCAACACATGGAGTGTGTACCATCAGTACATAGTGTTGTGGATTGTAGTTATGTGTATTTGTATGTATGTATATATACTTATATGAATACGTATATGTATGTGCGGATACATATATATATATATATATACATTAATTATTAGTGTGACATTGGCATTTTATGTTATTAAATCTACATACATATAGTATATGAAGTTATCAAAATATTATCCGCTTTACCACCCAATGCTAATATATTCTGTTATCTAAAGTTTATCTGCTTTACCACCCCAAGCTAATTTATTCTGTTATCTAAAGTTTATCCGCTTTACCACCCAAGGCTAATAAATTCTGTTATCTAAAGTTTATCCGCTTTACCACCCAATGCTAATATATTCTGTTATCTAAAGTTTATCCGCTTCACCAGGCAGGACAGATGGGACGACGTATGCTCCGATGAACACTCACCTGATTCATCCTATTTGTTTTTGCACCTCAATTACACTCTCTGCATGTGTCACTACACACAGCCCATGCGTGCCTCCTTTCTTTGTGGAGAATCGTGAAAATGCGCCGTCTCTGCTTCCTGACGACGCACAGACACAGCTCAAAGACTACGCCGAGAGCTGTCTCCGTGCCTTTGGCTTCACAGTCGGCTGCTTCCATGTGGAGTGCATGTGGACCAAGGTTAGCTGCTTGAATTGGTTTCCGATTAGTTCTCAATTAGTGTGCCTTTAATACTCAATTGATCTCAATTAGTGCGCAATTAATACTCAATTGATCTCCATTAGTGCGCGTTCTCCCAACTGACACCGCCACTCACTCTCCAATACAACACACCACAGAAAGGGCCGCGTCTGATCGAGGTCAACCCTCGTATGGGCGGAGGCCCTGTGCCGCAGTTCCACATGGACGCGTATGGTGTGGACATGTATCTGAACTTCTTCCTGGCGTTGTGTGACATCCCCATCAACCCCCCACTGCCCAAGGAGCCGCTGTGCACGCTGGTCAGCTACTGGATTGCCAGTCCCACTACTGGTGTGTGTGTGTGTGTGTGTGTTTGGATCCCTGTGAATCTGGGTCTGTATTTGAATGTTTGTTCGATCTCGGTTTAAAAAGGGCGGGCATACATGAGACTATGCACAAGCACTGGTTGTGTCTGGGCTTAGATGCTGCGTGGTAGTACATGCGTATGTTCGCAATTGCCCTGGTGCGTGTTTGTGTATGCGCCACACTTTCATGCGATGGGTTTGATTTTGTCGATGCCAAGTGGACTTGACTCTCCACAATTGATGTCATTGCGTTTGTGCGATAAGCCATATCTACTGAACCTGTTTCTACAGACTAGCACACTTCGCTTAGCTGTGTACAAGATTCACTCCCGAGTTGTATGCACGAGTGTTCCTTCAACATGGTCTGTGTGGTTCTTTGTCGTATGTTCTGTTGCGCTGCCATTGAGTGTATGTTGAGTGTATGGTTATCCGGTTGCCCTGGAACGTCATGGGCACTGGGTGGCTCGTCTTTGTAATATAGCCGTCCTACGATTGTTATTGCCCATGTGTGTGGTTTGAATCTTTATTTTTTCTTGTTTACTGTGTGTAAATCCACTTCCAAGTTACAATCTAGTATCTGTACTATATGAAGTTTTTCTGCGTGTTTAAATCAGTCGCATCTGATTGGAAGAGTGCGAATGGCGTCTCCACACGAGCAGGAACGTATGTATAATACATCAGCACAAAACAGGTAGGAGCTGACTGAGACTGCGTCACGCTACATATTAGGTACACTCAATAGTCTGGATTTCTTGGAGAAGGTTAAGGCTCACCCCAAGTGCATCTCAGCAGCACCCAACTTCAAAGTGGGTGACAAGGTCAAAGGTAAGCTCGCCTGTTCTATGTAGCGGATAAACGTTACAGTCAACCTAGGTCAGAATGTAGTTACCAGTATGCGTTGGATAACTCAGTAGGTGGACCTACACCTGATCCAATTTATATATGTGAGGTTATCCAACCTTTGCACAGACATCTATAAATGTATATTCTCTCGATATCTATAGGTGTTCCTGCAATGTTCGTGTGTTTGTGCACCAATGCTCATTCCGAAGTATTTTAGTATAATATCTGCATTGCCCCACTCAATCCCATCACTCCCATCACTCTCATATACAGGAGTGGACAAATCTGTTCCCGATGTGCTGGGGGCCTTCATGCTAAAGTACACCTACGCGGAGAGAGTGCAGGCTGTAAAAGAGGTACGTGGGGCATGCTGCTGCGCTAGATGTGTGTACGGTGTGTGGAAGTGCCTGCGGCAATTGCGATCGGAATCAATCCAATATATATACTGCTCGTGGATCTTTAGGGTTCTAGACCTGCACCGTGTCTTCAGACCCTCGATATGAGTCAATGTTATACTAGTATGAACCAGTTTCATATTATACTAGTGTGAATCAGTCTCATATTATACTAGTATGAACCAGTCTTATATTATACTAGTATGAACCAGTCTCATATTATACTATTATAAACCAGTCTTATATTATACTAGTATGAACCAGTCTCATATTATACTAGCATGAACCAGTCTCATATTATACTAGTATAAACCGGTCTCATTATTATACTAGTATGAACCAGTCTTATATTGTACTAGTATAAACCAGTCTCATTATTATACTAGTATAAACTCACCGACTCGTGAATTGATTTGTAACCCAAGTCAACCTCCCCACTCCCGGCGCCTGTGGCTATACATTACTCATCGCACTGACGAATGACCATATGCTAACCGTTGTGATGTCCGTTGTCTTTGAATCTTAACACAGGGAGAGGAATTGGGCGAGTCGCTTGAGTTTGACATCACTCCTGAGGAGAAGGCTCCACGCCGTCCCTCACGTCGCATGTCTCTGCTTGAACCACAGGATTTAGTTGATAACAATTAATTATTATATATAGGTTGTGTTTTCTTTTTCCCTCCATAAACTGCAGTGTAACGCCAAATTAAACAAGCGGGTGAAATTCGATCGGCGTGAATGTTTGCTCTTATCACAAAGTTGTTTGCGTTTCTGATCGCATGCCAAACCACTGTACGATAATGGCTATCCAAGGCCACATGAGCATAATAATAGCTCAGCCAAGGCCATATGAGTAAGAGAATAGCTTAACCAAGGCCATATGAGCACAATAATAGCTTATCTAAGGCCATTATTGTATGAGAATAGCTTATTCAAGGCCACATGAGTATGAGAATAGCTCAATCAAGGCCATATGACTATGAGAATAGCTCAATCAAGGCCATATGACTATGAGAATAGCTCAATCAAGGCCATATGACTATGAGAATAGCTTGGCCAAGGCCATTTGAATACGAGAATAGGTTAACCAAGGCCATACGGGTATGAGAATTGCTCAACCATGCTGAAGCTACCTCTTCGGTCTGCATACCTACTGTGAACACAAGCACTAACAAACATTTGTGTCTAAATATATATATATAT